TAACATTGGACAGCATTTTTCAGCTAAAGCAAACTTCATTGTAACAGGTGACGAACATTCTCAAATTCATCTTATCGCTAATGAAAGAACTATTTTATTTCCGGACAGGGCGCCATTTGTGTTGAGTTTGTCCTTTTCTTATTGGGGGAAATTTTAACTACACGAAGCACATAAGTATTAGGAGGATACATTTAAAATCATTTGGGGGTGATTTATTTTTGGATCCATCTATTCTATTTGGGTTCCAGAAGCCTGCGAAGTGAGAACTCCGAGTCTACCACCTTTCTATCTGCACTTCTTATGGGGTCCGCAACAAGCCTGACAATGAAAGGGAATCTAATCCATCGCCAGCCTTTCTAAAACGAATCAAAAGGTTTGCGTCCCGCCAATAAAATCTTAGAGATATGATTAACGTAAAAGCCGAAAGGTGTTGGTCACGTGGCGAACTACGAGGCTGGAGAAATTTCATGGCAGCGATTTTAAAATCCTTGGAACGACACTACGTAGAAATGGATCCGCAGCAGCTGCTAGGCAAGGGCACACTAGAAAATGCAGTATGCACAAGCGTAAACATGTATTGCCCACATCTGTATCAAATCGTTTATGAAAAATAACAAAGTGGGAGAAACAAAAATGGGGGGTGGGGGGTCGCGTGCAAAATACCCCCGTCTCAACTGTCCCTTCAGACCCTACAGAAGATCAACAGATGAGAGGCATACAAAAATCTTAAAACGCACAGAGCCTACTCTCATCAAATTAGCGGACTGGAATACGTCCATAAGTTGCATCAGGGTGTTGGGTAAATTCGGATTTTTAAATGTTGTTTATTTGTTCAGGTATCTTCAAAATGTATTAGAACCTACATTGTTGATATTTAGAACCTACATTATTGATTTTTAGAACATACATTATTGATTTTTAGAACCTATATTATTGATGTTTAGAACCTACATTATTGATTTTTAGAACCTACATTATGGATATTTAGAACTTACATCATGGACATTTAGAACTTACATTATTGATTTTTAGAACCTACCTTATTAATTTTTAGAACCTACATTATCGATGTTACAATGTCAAAATAGCAACACGAAAAACGTGTAAGCTTGCTTAGATTGTATGGACACCACACTATTTAAGATGCAGTAGAGAGCCGCCATCTAATCTATTAGAGGGGCTCAGCCAATATGTCAGAGGAGAAGTTTCACAATACTCGATGAAATGACATTAATTATTAGATAGATCAGTATTGTGTAGACTGATGTCAGTAACAAATATTGCATTCTGACCGATGCATGACATAAGTGACAGATTTGTGGCACATACGTGTCAATGACGTGGCAGATCTTGAAAAACGGGGCCTTCGTGACATTTACATGACAAATTGGTGACAGATGAATGCAAAATACGAGACAATTATGTGAAAAATACATGAAAGGTGTACTTTGGCAAATACTGGACTGATACGTTGCAGGTACATGACAGATAGTGTCAAAGTACCTACGTACGTCCGCCATGGGCGCCCGCAGAAAACTTTCTAGGGGGGGGGGCAAAAAAATCGATTAACTTTCCAGGGGGGGGGGGCCAAACATTTTTATTATGGGTGTGTGTGCTCAAACATTTTTTAGTAATGTTTTAATGTAGTTTTAATTTACTGTAGTGTATTTGTATGGTGAACGAACGGACAGGACATCAGGTTAGTTACTTTCTCTTTATTTTCTCTTTACTTTAATACTTTTTTGTGTCTATTTTTGTCTAAAAAATTTTTATCCAATCAATCCAGGGGGGGGGGAGCAAGTGCCCCACCTTGCCCCTACCTGCGGGCGCCCATGACGTCCGCTGATCCTGCATGATATTGTGTTGTCGAGATTTCACCTTATTTTGCTGTATTTCTTACATTGTTTATTGTTGGCCGAACATTTTAATGGTAACATTGTCCAATGGTCGTAATTGATGCCTTTGGCACTACGTGAAGTAAGCCTAACATTCTTCTCTCCATTTTCTTTTCTTTCCCTTCCTTGTATATAATGGCGTCACCCACATGCGTGAAGACCCTGAAATGAAAAGCTCCTTGCCTATAATAACTCACCTGAATTATATATATATATACACATATATATATAAATGAATGTCTGTATGTGTGCCTGTGTTTATGTCCCATATGCGCTCCCATACCATTCATTCAATTGCGATTAAAACTTTGGTGAATTGTTGTCCGCAAGCCCGCGCATTTTTCCGTTGCACCCTTTTAAAATATTCCGTTTCGGGGCGAAAGCCATAAGGTCGTTTTTTTCTCTTAGTAAGCTATGTAATATAATTTCCGTATGCGCTCCTATACCATTCATTCGATTGCGATTAAAACTTTGTTGAATTGTTGTGCGCACGCTCGCGAATGTTTCTATATAAGAACAACAATCTTAAAATATTGTGTTTGAAACCATTGGGGGGGGGGGGTGCCTAAATTCGTTGTTATTTTTTTTTCTTCATTTTTTAGATTTTATACATATAATTTGAAAAAGAGCTAATGCATGGGCGGATGGAAGGGAATCAAGTAAAGA